TTGCGCTTGCCTTCCCCTCTTTGGTCTTTTCCATAACCTTGAACCTTCCAAGTTGGAAGGCTGTCGGTTAGCGCTACGGAGATGTGTTAAAGTTAGGTGTCAGGACGTCGAATGTCTCAGTACTCTGTCAGTTTTGTGCCTAGTTATTGCACTTTCTGACTGTATATAGTATCATGTTACAGTGATGGAGAGTTACTCTAAACTCGTATCCATATGTCCTTTTCTATTTTACATTTATTTATGGCTCAACATCCGAGTTTCAAATTGCACACCTGATGAGCCGTCACGAACCATACGGCGAAACGTACGTCGTGTGAAACAACTTGTTTTGTAGTCAACTAGTCCATCACAATGTCATGCATGAGGAGTACTGTAGGAGTTTGGCTTTCGGCTTGTACAATTCGTTTTCGCAAAGCTTCCCTTTCTTTACTTATCTTTGATATTTATGACCCACCCAAGTTGGGTGGTGTGCTGCTTTGCTGCTTCGAATTGTAGTTAGACCGCTTTGTCAAATATCGTACTGGTCTCGTCATCGTCCAGTAACAATCGACATTCTTTGTTCCGTTGGGACTGTAGCTTTTGCTCGTTTTCGTTGCGCTTGCCTTCCCCTCTTTGGTCTTTTCCATAACCTTGAACCTTCCAAGTTGGAAGGCTGTCGGTTAGCGCTACGGAGATGTGTTAAAGTTAGGTGTCAGGACGTCGAATGTCTCAGTACTCTGTCAGTTTTGTGCCTAGTTATTGCACTTTCTGACTGTATATAGTATCATGTTACAGTGATGGAGAGTTACTCTAAACTCGTATCCATATGTCCTTTTCTATTTTACAATAATAATAATAATAATAATACAAATAATCTACGTGGAGATAAAAGTTTAATAATAGCAATGAAAAGTATGAATGCCGCAGATATCACCACGCAACATGACAATTTGTTCAAGGTTTGGTTTTGTGTGTTTCCAAAATCGATTTTCACGTTCCGATCATCAGTGGAAATACGGAACTAAAGAGATCAAGGGAAAAACAAAGATTTGTGTAAGCAAAAAGAACATGTTTTAGCACTTAGGTTATTTTCGTGAGTTTGCACCCCGTGTTCATGAGTTGTTTCTGCACTGTTCATGCCCGTTCGTCACACTTACTCTTTATTTTAGTTCTCACTTTTTGTAATACTTACCACAAGTTACCCGTCATGTGTCACACTTCTTTGGATTTTTAACCTTTGTTTTTCCCTTGATCTCTTTAGTTCCGTATTTCCACTGATGATCGGAACGTGAAAATCGATTTTGGAAACACACAAAACCAAACCTTGAACAAATTGTCATGTTGCGTGGTGATGTCTGCGGCATTCATACTTTTCATTGCTAATAATAATAATAATAATAATAATAATAAGGATGGCGTAACAAAGCGGTCTAACTACAATTCGAAGCAGCAAAGCAGCACACTTTGTCAAATCGCCTACTGGTCTCGTCATCGTCCAGTGACAATCGACATTCTTTGTTCCGTTGGGACTGTAGCTTGTGCTCGTTTTCGTTGCGCTTGCCTTCCCCTCTTTGGTCTTTCCATAACCTTAAACCTTCCAAGTTGGAAGGCTGTTGGTTAGCGCTACGGATATGTGTTGAAGCTAGGTGTCTGGACGTGGAATGTCTCAGTACTCTGTCAGTTTTGTGCCTAGTTGTTGCACTTTCTGACTGTATATAGTATCTAGTTACAGTGGTGGAGAGTTACTCTTAACTCGTTTCCATACGTCCTTTTCCTTTCTACTTTTATTATTGGCTCAATACCCGAGTTTCAAATAATAATAAGAATAATGTTTCTTCAGAATTCCCAAACTCCATTGCAGCGTATTCCTTGCACTTGAAAACACCGCCATTCCGGCAACAGGCTCTCAGCTATAATAGTGATATTAATAATAATTTTGAAAGGATTGGGAGAACTTCAAATTCATAGGATCAATTGGGGAAGTGAACTGCCTGAAAAGAGAAAAAATCGCCAGAACCACCAGGACTCGAACCCGGGACCTTGCTTGTCATGAGCAATGCTCTAACCACTGAGCTATGGGACCGGGCTGAACCTAGAAGGCGCTGACAAGTCTTTCACTCCAAAGGCAGCTCACAATACGTGCCACACATACTGATGGCACTTGGGTCTTTCTCCCTCCCCCAGGGGACCAACCACGGTCAGTTTCTGGACCCTACCAGAAGTGAAAAGAGAGTGATAAATTTTAAAAGGATTGGGAGAACTTCAAATTCATAGGATCAATTGGGGAAGTGAACTGCCTGAAAAGAGAAAAAATCGCCAGACCCACCAGGACTCGAACCCGGGACCTTGCTTGTCATGAGCAATGCTCTAACCACTGAGCTATGGGACCGGGCTGAACCTAGAAGGCGCTGACAAGTCTTTCACTCCAAAGGCAGCTCACAATACGTGCCACACATACTGATGGCACTTGGGTCTTTCTCCCTCCCCCAGGGGACCAACCACGGTCAGTTTCTGGACCCTACCAGAAGTGAAAAGAGAGTGATAAATTTTAAAAGGATTGGGAGAACTTCAAATTCATAGGATCAATTGGGGAAGTGAACTGCCTGAAAAGAGAAAAAAATCGCCAGACCCACCAGGACTCGAACCCGGGACCTTGCTTGTCATGAGCAATGCTCTAACCACTGAGCTATGGGACCGGGCTGAACCTAGAAGGCGCTGAAAAGTCTTTCACTCCAAAGGCAGCTCACAACACGTGCCACACATACTGATGACACTTGGGTCTTTCTCCCTCCCCCAGGGGACCAACCACGGTCAGTTTCTGGACCCTACCAGAAGTGAAAAGAGAGTGATAAATTTTGAAAGGATTGGGAGAACTTCAAATTCATAGGATCAATTGGGGAAGTGAAATGCCTGAAAAGAGAAAAAATCGCCAGACCCACCAGGACTAGCAATTGGCGGACTATGCTCGGCCAATCGTCAAATTATGCTTTTGATTATGCCACAATTATGCCAACAAATATGCTGAATTATGCTGGGTTCCACTATGTATTCACGCTGTACATAGAGGATTGAGAAACCACGCATACACACACGGCCATGCCCTTAGCATAATTTGTGTCTAAACCGAAAGATTATAACGACCTTACACGTTGGAATCCGTACATGTATATTATTATGCCGGAGCATAATTTTTGGACGAAATCCCAAGATTATGTCAAATATTATGCCGGCATAATCCGCCAAGGGCTATGAAAAGGAGTCGTAACTGGGGTATTAAAAAAACAAACATCTGCAGGCTTTCTGACAAAGCTGTATTATGCCCCGAAGCTAGGCCTTGACGGATTATGCTAATATTTTCGTGAAATTATGCTTTTCGCATTGCTGAAAAAATTGCAGAATTATGCTATTTTTATGCTAAAAGTTACCATATTATGCCGCATTATGCTCACATATGCTGCTAATGCATAATGGTTCTGTGCAAAATAACAGGGGAATTTTTTTGTAGAGGGCGTTGTACTGTAATAGCAAAAGTTCAACGGGGTCAACGCACCGTCCGACCTAGCTACGACCATCACTGATTGTAGTGGACTGGACATGTTACCAAGGGAGTCGTAAACCTACAACTTCCTAGTGCATCTACTTGTACTTGTACTTGTAGAACATGTACAACTGTATGGAATTTGATGCGAACAGGCGGATTATTACAATTTTATGCGATTCGTATGCAATTTGCCTCGAATTATGCGATTATTCGATTTTGGTAGGAATTATGCGAAAAATTATGCTAGCATAATCCGTCAAGGCCTACCCGAAGCACAATTTTTGTCTAAACCGAAAGATTATGCCGACCTTACACGTTGGAATCCGTATATTATGCCGGAGCATAATTTTTTGACGAAATCCCAAGATTATGCCAAATATTATGCCGGCATAATCCGCCAAGGGCTACATACGGAACGGTACAGGTCATCCAGTCGGGCATGACTCAGACCTGCTGCTGGCTAGACTGGCGGTGGACCTGCAGCTTGCACAGCTTCTGGGGTTACGATTAGAATCTTGCAGTAAACTGAAGCACTAAAAATAGATTTTCCATGGACATGATGCCTGGTTTGCTTGAGAACGGTTTTATTCACAACACCAATTGGGCCAATCGCGTGATACCATGAAGTAAGAGTCAAAGCAAAAAGGCAACCCAATTTCGGAAATACACAGGACACTCGAAATAGACAAAGAACACTCCAAAATAAAATTGAACACGAAAGCTTCACAAGAAATCGTTACCTGACACGATTGCCTACCGGCATGCAAAGGCAAAGTCACGCCTCCGCCCGTGTCAGCACAGCCCGCGGCCATATGCTGCAATGGTGCTCCCGACCTTTCGGCGAATGTAAGAGGCCCTGCAGCCCCTAAAGCACGTGACTGCCCATCGCAGCAGGCAAAATGAAACCTGGGTGGGTAACTCACCCATCACGGCAGAATATACCAAGTCTTTGTTTTTGTCTACAACCAGAGCAGCTAGCGACTTCAGAAATTTAGTAGTTTCCTTGCCCGCCACACCCGAGGTCGAAAACACCAGTGGTGTGAATGACGCTCTCTCCACCTGGTTGACTCTGGCACCATACGCCGCCTTCTTCATTCTCTCGTGTGTTCTCAGGCGGCTAAGGATTTCCGGACGAGACAGCAAGGACGGCCAAAGGTCAATGCCTGGTTTGGTGCTGTCAAATCTCAGATGTAGTTCTTTGATGCCTTTGATCGGTCGAAAGAACTGGCTGAAGAAGTTGTCCCACTCTCTCCATTGCAGATCAGAGCCCTGGACAAGTTGGGCTTCGTTGCATGATGCACCGCTATTCACCACCGCGGCTTGTTGATGTAGCGAGGAGCAGTCACCTTTGCCAAATTGTTGCTTAAAAATGCCGAGGCACCCGTCAACAAGACAATGGGTATGACCGGTAATCATGAAGCACAACTTGCACAAGATGATAGCTTTGTGATGGCCCTCCAGGCCAGGTAAGCACAAACTGTCCGATTCCGAGTATGGCGGCCATTTTGCATTGACTCATCCATGACATACATGTACTGTACACTACAATGATGATTACAAAGCAGAAAAAAAGAAAAATCCGAAAACCTTTTGCAGAAATCACGATGAGATACGAGATGCTTGTACACCGTGGGGTTTTCTACTGTAGTTCTTCTACCTCCACCACCTGCGCTCTCTGGCAGACCTGGAGCACACCAGCAACACGACTCCAAGCTTTCGCTATCAGCAAATAGAAAATTCCTTCACACAGCGCTGTTCGGATCATTTTAAAAGATCTGATAAGTGAAGGGAATACTGAATGGCTAGAACAATTATTTTAATGTTCTCGTTTTATTGTTTTGTGCAGCTATGTTCGGGAGCTTAGCAGCTGCTCTCCCTCAAATAAATTTGATGATGGAGCAAGTGGAGCAGAACAACTTGTACAAGCCAGGTGTTGTTGTCCCAAGTAAAAGTTCAGCGACAATATTGATGGCGTGGACGAAGAACAGAAGCATCGAAGTATTTTATTTTATTTTATTTTTATACGAAAGTCCACTATATTCCCGAATATGTGCGAGAAATCAGGAATCAGAACAATACGATGAATGATGTTGAGTTTAGTTTAAAGTCGCAGCACAAACAGCCGGTAACGCCTTCTTTGATACAATCATTTACATGTAAGCGAAGGAAGCTCTTACTTGCCCTCGAATCCTGTTTTTTTTTGGCATACTGAAGAATCACACACTCAACTTACATGGGATAAATGGCAAAAGAAGATGTACTGCATATATTCATATGCAAGTTTGCATCTTTCCCTCAAGCCAATGAAAATGTATGTATGCGTGTGTGTTTTTCTTTGTTTACTGGATCTGAACATTATGCGTGGGTTGTTGTACTAGATAATAAACTGGAGCTTGATGGTCCCGTGCTGCAGGTGCCTGGTTTGTATATTGTACTGCGCACTGAGCAGCGCTAGCGGGTGCTGCCATTAGTGAAGGGGACCCTGTCGCCGCTGTCGCCGCTTGGTTAGCATGGATGGCACCAGGAGTCGGGGGTAGGATCTGCGGCGGCAGCGACGTGAGTACAACAGGTGCTGGGCCTGGGTAGGAATGCTGCGGCTGTTGCACTGACTCCACTTTCACGGCGTAGTGCGGCGCTGCTCCAGCTGCCATTACCGCTTGAGGCTGTCCAGGAGCGGCACTTGGTAGGATAAACGTTTGGTACTGCGGTGCTGCAGTGTACAGGTTGGTGGCACTGCTGCTTCCGCCGTTCAATGCCTGTGTAGTCGATACCATGGTGGCCATCTGGCGTCCGGGGGCGGGTGGATTTGCCTGAGGAAATACATTTACTGGTACTGGCTGGAGTGAACTAGCTGGTACGATGGTGGCAGCATTCAAATCAGGAAGAGATATAGAGCTGCGTTGAAGTTGACTATACTGTCCCATAGGTGTTGTAGAACTGGAGAGAGATGTTCCACTGCTCGTCCATCCGCTTGCGGACATTGCTGTAGGAAAGTTAAAAGCACTACTCGCTCTTGTCAGTGTTCCAACTGGCACTCCACCAGCTGGTGCTCTGGAGCCGCGAGAGGTTTGATATGGCGAGAACGGGTACCGCCGGTGGTCATAACCTCTCCCATTCAGGGAGTCAGGTGGACTATCCGGACCACTCTCATCATCATGATTTGTGGTGGGAACACGAGAAGTGGCAGAGATGGTCTTCGGTTTGCGCTTCGGCCTGTATTTGTAATCCGGAAACTTCTTCATATGTTCTGTTCTGATGCTTCTGGCCTTATCCACGTAAGGCGCACGCTCTTCCTCGGTCAGCCGCTTCCACTTTTCGCCGAGCTTTGTTGAGATCTCCGAGTTGTGCATCTTTGGGTTCTCCTGTGCAAACTGTTTCCTTTCCTCCCTTGACCACACCATGAATGCGTTCATAGGTCTTTTGACATGTTCGGCTGTCTTCATCTTTATCCGCACTGTGTCTGTCTGGTCTGCCACACTGCCAACCCGGACATCCTGATATGCAGAGCAGGACAAAATGAATACACAATACATGTGCTGGTTAGTCTTTGAAGGCTGAGGAGCCTCGCTATGCTTTGTTCTTGCCTAGGTCATCATGCGTGTTATTTGAAAAAAATAAATGAGAGAGCTTGGAAGCTCAGGGCCCTACGCTATGCTTTTTGCCTTGATGACCTAGACAAAAAAAGCATACGGATGTTATAAATTGGGGTGAGGAACTAATTGCAACGCTAGAACTGTGTAGTTAGACAAACAATCATGCTGTGCACCTACGAAAACAATCTTAACGCAACTACATGTTTCTTCTGCTTACAAAGATCAGGCTTATGCAAACGAATACAAACAGCCTCAAGTACTTTCAACTGACTAGCGTACCGTGCACGACAAAGAACAGAAAAACTAAAATCATCATACACCTGCAGACACTTAGGGTGAGACAACACTAAGTGTCTGCAGGTGTATGATGATTTTAGTTTTTCTGTTCTTTGTCGTGCACGGTACGCTAGTCAGTTGAAAGTACTTGAGGCTGTTTGTATTCGTTTGCATAAGCCTGATCTTTGTAAGCAGAAGAAACATGTAGTTGCGTTAAGATTGTTTTCGTAGGTGCACAGCATGATTGTTTGTCTAACTACACAGTTCTAGCGTTGCAATTAGTTCCTCACCCCTGTTGCACTTAGCTCTCACTTTACTTCTATTATGTTATAAATTCATATAAATTTTTCCTTTTCTTTTAAGTTAAGACATATCCTGGGATTCGAACCTGCACTATCGCCCTGCATGCATCCCCCGATACACTTCGCATACATACATGTACTAATTCTTCCAAGTAAGTTGCTTCACGTTATGAACTTGCATTTGAAAGCCCTATTTGAATATGCATTGTGGCCAGCCGTCTTTGATGGCACGGTACGGGACAGGTACGGGACAGATACGGGACAGGTACGGGACAGGTACGGTCGAGGGTAATACGACACCGTCTACCGCCTTGATGACCTAGGCAAAAAAAGGCATAGGAACTTTTTCAATTCTCCTATTTTTTTAGGCATAACCTGGGATTCAAACCCGCACTATCGCCCTACATGCATTCCCCTTATCACTTCGCATTCATACTCATTCTACCAAGTTGCTTCACGTTATGATCTTGCGTTTGAAAGCCCTATTTGAATATTGCGGCCAGCTGTATGTGGCCAGCTGTGTTTGATGGTACGGTACGGGACAGATACGGGATAGCGCCAGGCGTGACGGCAGAAAAATTGGCAGAATTCGGTACTTTTTCTGGTAAGTTTCATGCATGTTTGGTATGTGGATAAAGAAATGGAGCAGAATTCGAGGAATTGCCCGCCATAAGGTTTGTATGGTTCTGCCAATTTCGGTGCAAAAAAAGCAGAATCTGCCACCTTTTCGAGCATTATCCGCCAAGGCCTACTGTGTGGACCCTGGCTAGCGCCAGACGTTACTGAAGTAACGTCTTCTGCATACCGTATTTCCGCAAATAAAAGGCCGTCCTCGTTTAGTAGTAGTATTTATTTTATTTACCATCGGATGCCTCAACAGTGATACACACAACTCTTAAGAGGGCCGATAAAGGGATAAGTGGAAAGGAAAGGAAAAGAAAAGAAAAAAAGAAAAAAAATTGGAATTCAGACATCAAGCAGTACAGTAATCGTTTTTTTAAAAATCGTTTTACGCCTTCCTCGTATACAAGACCGGGGTAGGGGGCGATTAAAAAAATAAAAGACCGTCTCCGATTAGAAGACCGGGCCAGCCGGGCCTACTAAATGAGTCTTTGTTCTTGTGTTAAAAATAGAAGACCGTACTCAAACTGTGGGAAAAAATAGAAGAGCGTGCTCAAACTGTGTAGAAGAAAATGGAAGAACGGGGGTAAAACTGTGTGGCGAGAAATAGAAGACCGGGGTCAAACTGGGTTGAAAGAATAAGGCCGTCCTCGATTATAAGGCCGGGTTAGGACGAGGTTGAAAAAATGGTAGACCGGCCTACTATTTGGGGAAATACGGTAGCTACGGGAATAAAAGTAAATTATCGTATCCGTTCCCAAAGGGAACTCACGTTCCCGAAGGTAACTCACGCCGGCCGCTAACACCCGATAAACCCTAGCGTGTTATTTGAACCGATAGAAACGTCTTTGCAATACGACTATTGAGTAGGACGTTTCTATCGGTACTATTGGGTACATCGTTTTGTATTGCAAAGACGTTTCGATCGGTTCGAATGACACCCATGATGACCTACGCTAAGACAAAGCATAGCGAGCGTCCTGAGCTTTTTTTAAAGTTCTCTCGAGATGTGTTCTTATTAATTATATTTTGCATGATGGCCTAGGTAAAACAAAGCATAGCGAGTGCTCTGAGCTTTCAAGCTCTCTCGTTCCTTTTTCAACAATAAAAAAACTTAAATTTCGGATTTTGTGTGGATGTGCTTGTACGTGTGGGCTGGCACAAGCCATGCAACTAGTTTCACCAGGTCTGGTGCGCTATACCGTACATATAGCGTACTGTGGTACCTAAACAATTTTTGTTCTGGTTTGGGTATGACTCCCTGATCCATTATCCAAAAAGGGTTTTCCACCCATATTCATAAGTTGAGGGAATGATCATAACGTGAAGCAATTTGGTAGAAGGTGCAGGATTGTATGTGAGGTGTATGGAGGCACTTCATGCCGTTCATCATTGTCAGTTCGAGTCTCATTTTATGCGTGGAAAATAATTTGAAGAAAAGAAGAGAAGGCAAGGGAGAGAGAGAGAGAGAGGCCTTGGCGGATAATGGTCGACAAATTGGCGGATTGAAAGTGGCAGATCTATACAAACCTTGAATTATGCTCCATTTCTTTATCCACATACCAAACATGCATGAAACATACCAGAAAAGTACCAAATTCTGTCAATTATTCCGCCAGCATTATCCGCCAAGGCCAGGCTAGACACAACGAGAGTGCAGAAATGATTTGCAAAAGAATATTCCAAGTACAATGGGACTTAAATAGGACTGTATTTGGAAAAAAATATTGGTCGTCGCCAGATATACATTATAGATGTAGGACACAATCATTTCCCGAGTACTAGTAATCCCTTACCGCTATATTAGTACGGCTAATGGACGTCGATGGTTGGGCAGCAGCAGCAGTAGCCGTGATTGAGTGACCACTACAAGTTTGTAGACCGGTCTGAGAATGGATACACAACGACACAACAATATCTACTCTAAGTCTTACTACATGTACTGACAGATTCACAAAGACAAAAGAGAACAGAGACAGCCGGCTAGGTCATTGTTGTAACGCTGCGTTTGTGACATAGCAAAGCTAAGGCAATCCTCAGACTAGACAACTGATAACCTGTACATCATCTGGGTCCAAAGTTATACCCAGGCAGGTAGCTAAAACAGGGCGCGCAAAATGAGTTAAAAGCGCGAAAAAGCAGGTGGCATAGCGCGCAAAGGTGGCAAAAGCGCGAAATTAGTGTGACATTTCAAGTGATACGTTAGTTAGGGAGACATGGTGCGGATGGTGTCGGTTATTACATGGGAGGTGAAAAAAGGAGGGAGAGAAGGAGGGGTGACAGTCAAGTAAGTTACATAACAGTGACCACCGGCAGGCAGGCAGGCCCTGGCCTGGGTCTGGTGGCGGCAGGCAGGTGCTGGCGGCGGCATGCAGGTGACTAAGTGACGCCAGTGCCGTAGCGCCAAAGGTAGAACTTATTCTGGTGTCGACATTTTGATACTAATTCTGATTTTTTGTTGAGGAGCGTGGCTGCGTCAGCGCGGATGATTTTGACTTTTTCCACTAAACACAGGCCGCATCTTTTTGAGATGTTGCTGTAGGTCTTTGCTCTGTCGACGATGGACCAACTAATGTCGTACTCTTCAACCTGGTCCTCCAGTGCCCACAGGTGCTTCGACAGCTGCGTGCTTTTGTGGTACTTTTCGCATCTCATAGTCGTGAGGTGGTTGCCATAGCGCGTCTTGAACAGTGTCTTGCAAAGCCCGAAGTACATGTACATTATGTGTAGTTACTGCAAAAGCACGCAGCTGTCGAAGCTGTGTACGTGTGTGTGTGAACAATCACAGAATCCACGGCAAAATATTACGGCTCAGGCATTCACGCGATCATTAAACTGTTTTCCTTGAGAATTATTTGAGCACTGAGGCAGATTTCGATCTCCGCGTATGCACAGTCTACTTGTAGCTCGAGTCAGGTGTGTGTGTGCGCTCCTCTTCAAAAGGAAAGGACACTAGGTGGTGAAAAATCATGCAGGCTTCAGATAGAATCGTAGATTCCGCTAGGACACGCAGGGTCCGACGTGCTATCGGGGTTACACGAGGAGTGAAGGCGAAGAATGTGACAGCGTGTTTGGTCTCAAATCGCTCTAGTTTTCCATAAATGTCCAGCGGTTTAAGGATAAAAATGCTAATGCACGCCTTGACTGCACCTAGCACCTCTTGCTTTCTTTGGCCTTTTCTCAGCTACCGAAATGATAGTGCAATCAAGAGTAGTGATAGTGAGGGGTGGGTGATACCAGCAAAACAGGCAGGAACACACTGTCACATTCTTCGCCTTCACTCCTGGTGTAACCACGATTCCACGTCGGACCCTGCGGGTCCTAGCGGAATCTACGATTACACTTCGGAGCTTCGAATGTGACAGTGTGACTTATAAAAGTGGTCCACGACCTCCACCAAGGCAAGGGCGTAGCCAAGCGTGATGCACGAAGGAGAATCGCGGATGTGGAGTGAAGGAACTGGCATCTCACAGAGTGCCTGATATACAGTACAAATGTTACTAGGATACACCATAATTATGTACAGGTGCCCTTCAAGTCGGAGAAATGAAGGGAGAAAATGGTGACAGTCGAGTAAATATAACTTGCAAATGACACAGAACATAATACTGCGACACTTTGGCGAGGCTGTGTCGAAGTACTGAATGTCACAGAACTCCTCGAGACAGGAATGTGGACAAAGAAGTTTGTCCCTTGCAAACCAGGGAACTAGGAAGGTCTTAGATCTGGAACCCTAGACAATTGTCTTGCTGACGGAGGCAAGGTCGAACACAGCACGTACCTTCGGGAGTTGATGGCAGTTGAATACGGACAGACTGCGAAGCTCCGAGATGAACGGGGAGCCCAATTCAAAGCCAGCTACAAGGTAACGTGCCGCGTCAGACGTTTCCGAGGCATTTGGGATTGAGTCCCCAAGTCTGCAGAACTTCCAGAACATTGACAGCACTCCAAGTGCTGGCAGGCCAGCAGTAATAGACGTGGGGCATCAAATGGGTGGTCGCTACATCAGCCGGACCAATACTCCAAGAGGCCCGGGACACGTAGCTGGAGCGTCGACGAGAGAGGAGAAAGATGCATTGGTAATTGCTCTATACTGCCTCCCTACATCGCACTGGGTGGCTAAATAGTTGGTCCGACTGCGATGAACTCCAGACAGGAGCCACCTGGAGCACTCGCTATACATGGTGAATGGCGCTAAATATCAGGCATCAATTGATGAGGCAGAATGGAGGGTGCAGAAGTGCATTCTCCCACTGGTCTGGTCTGCCGGAAGGACCGAGAAAGCCTAGCCCTCGGCCTCAGAATCTGAGCGTTAACTCACGTACTGATCCAGTTAGCGGTTATGCCTGACCACAAATAGGTCAATAGGGCTGTACCAATGATGTAACTTTGTAAGGACCTGCCTGTCCAACAGGCAGTTGCCGTTGTCTGCAGACAGTGTCGGTCGTTCGGATCGTGGGCGATGTCCCAAACATTGATGGCGACTAGGTGGAGCCAGCTGGGTCGCGCCAATAGTAATAGTTATGTACTCTTGGTCGCGCCAACAGACATGTAGTTTGCCAATGTTTCCTTCCTTGGATATGTAAGCAACAGCCGTCACATGATCAATCTCGACATGCAAAGGTACTCCCATCATGCCATGCACTGGGGTTTGCAGACCAAGGCACTCCGCCCACAAGCAGTAGATGAATGGAGTTTAGCTCCTGCAGAGTCATGTGGCTATGGTTGGCTGCTGTGCAAGGGTCCTGAGCTGATGGGCTATCGCACAATGCGATGGCACCTGTGAGGTGACTAGCTGGCCATCCCCGACTGAAAAGTGACGGACCCAGTACTGGAGACTTGTCAATTGAATCCATATATCGAGGTTGCACATCCCAGGCTGTGGAGGTCTATCCTGCAACCACTATATTCTGTAATGATCGACTGTGAAGCTGGGCTAGCGGGAAGTCTTTGCGATCAGGAGCCTCCAGTGGCTTGGTGATGTAAGGGATGGTGAGCCTCATACCTTCCAAGGACTGAACCAGCTACAAGCCAGATTTGCACAGGTTTACATGGAGCCCGAGATGCTCCAGGAGGCGGATCATCGCTTGCACTTGGTACAGGGGCCAGGAAACACAGGTAGAACTGTACTTGCGAAGCAACAATATGAGTATGGCAGAACGGCATTAAGTTATGGGCGTGACTCTGGGCATGAAACAAAGCACTCGCTGGTGCTTGCAAACCCATGTGACCATCGTTCATCACCAATGGACTAATGGTTAGAGTGTGGCAAGGCCCTCGACTGGGCCTGCCCACTGGCGTGACGGAAGCCACCATATCTACAATGACCGTACAGTCCTGGGACTCCACCAACATGGGTGGATGCGAGTTAGGCACAGACATTGGCAAGGCACTCGGCCGGCCGGGCCTGCTTTACGTGAAATTGCCCTGACCATACAAGGAAGGCACGCCTCGGGCAAACAAAGCACTCACTGGTGCTTGCAACCCCACGAGACCATCGCCCCTGGATAGTGGATGGATGGATAGAGTGGTTAGAGTGCGGCAAGGCACGCGACAGGGCCTGCCCACTGTAGAGATCATTGTCCATCGACAGTGGGCGGATGGTTAGAGTGTAGCAAGGCACGCAAAAGGGCCTGCCCACTGGCTCGACCATCGTCAATCTGCAGTGGATGGATGGTTAGAGTGTGGCAAGGCACACGACAGGGCCTTCTCACTGATGCGACCATCGTCCATCGACAGTGGACGGATGGTTTGAGTGCGGCAAGGCACGCGACAGGGCATGTCCACTGGCGTGGCAGTAGCCGCCGCATATCCGCCTTGTCCGCATCGTCCATCGAAGGGGTTGGATGCCAGTTACATGTACGTGTAGTTGTAGGTACCGAGGTTGGCAAGGCACTTGTCAGGGCCTGCCCAATGGCGTGACGGAAGCCGTTTGTTGATGTTGTTATGCGCAAGGCGCAGAGGTTGGCAATGCACCCGACAGAGCCTGCCAAACTCGTGAAGGCCGCCTTGACCCAACAGGGAAACCGTGATTCGGGGCGATGAAACAAGGCGCTCGTCGGCGCTTGCAAACCCACGGCACCATCGCAGCGTCTCCATCAGCATTGGCCGCCGAAAAGGCCGAAATTTCCATATCGGCACAAACTTGTTTCTTCAGCACTAACCCAGTGACGGACAGCATGACGATCGGGTAAGAACTCTTACTAGTCCTAGGTTGGGCCTGCGAGCTTCAGCTTCGGAGTCATCATTAGAAAATAAATACTGCCCTAGCGGCAGTAGAAGATTTACTGAAGTCTCAAGGATACTAGACAAAGGAAAAAGGTAACCTATCAGCAAAGAAGCGAAAGAAAAGGCCAAAGAAAGCAAGAGGTGCTAGGTGCAATCAAGGCGTGCATTTGCATTTTTATCTTTTAAAAACCGCTGGAAATGTATGGAAAACTAGAGCGATTTGAGGCCAAACACACTGTCACATTCGAAGGCGAAGCTCCGAAGTGTAATCTCTTTTCAGAGGACGTTCTGGCTGGTAGATTGTACTTTTTTATTTACTTGAAAAGCACGTACCCACCAGGAAAGCTGACAAATAAAACAAGAATGGATTCGGATGGAGAGCCAAGGTTTAATTTACACAAAAGAGAAAGACCGTTAGTGGACACCATTTCGTAACTTGTGGGTTCCTTGGTCCTTTCTCTTTTGTATAAAGAAAAAACAAGACAGATAAAAAGAGAGCTGAGAAAGAGAGAAAGAGAGAGAGAGTTGGGGTACGGTTTAAGGAGGACAAGACATTGAATTGGTGGTGCTAGTATTCATCATTTTTGAAGACCAGACTTCGTCGTTCAGAAAGGCTATTTCGGAATATTTTCAGTCAGGCAATATTTTTGCATGCCAAATTGCCGATCTTGATAGACGGAGACTGATTTCAACTGATCCAGCATACAATTACAAGCAGTGCTCGCTTTGTGTTATTGGAGAGGATGGGTGACAAGATTGCGGAGTCAGAAGCAGACATTGTCGACGATGCAGAGACGAAAATATAACAAAGATAGAAATAATAATAATGTCTATCTTCAAGAA